AAATTGATTGATAAACATTTATAAGAGTTGTTTTCTTCAAGCAATAATGATTATTTCCGTCTAGAGTTAGTGTAGTCTGGGTTGACGATGTAATCAAGGTCCTTGTCCTGTGTCTTGTCTTATGTAGACCCTGTGTATGTAGAGCTCACTCCTTGTCAAAGGGACAAGGTCAAAGCCACATTGGAATGAGGAAGTGCATACTGAACGTAACCTTGTAGTGCGTGTACTCAGAGAAACCTTGCCATGCATTTCTCTCTCTGTCTGTCTTCATTTCTAAGGCTACTGCCCCCATCAAATGGAACTCTTATCTTGACCCAGTACCGTGACCGTAGGAGCTTCGTATGTAGGTCTACTGTAGGGATCCAGACTGAAGCCGATGAACATGTAAAGACAGGATACTGTTAGGGCCTTGTTGTTGTTGTTGTTGTTGTTGTTGTTGTTGTTGTCTAACCCTAAAGGCACCCTCCTGTTTCCTGATGGTCTTAGAAATGAAAACTGTCCGTCTTTCAAAAGACGGTATGAGTGACAGACTGCTCAGGCCTGCCTGTGACTGTGTACGTGACAGATATTGATGGTTTCTAGCGGGATATTCATATGCTTATATTGATATTGTATATGACTGTAATGATTGTAGAGGTTGATGTGGAGAGAACATAACTCTTTCTGGCAGCCAGGATCTAATGAATAGGGTTAAGTCCCAAATGGCACCCTATTCCCTATATAGTGCACTACTTTTAGACCAGGGCACTTTGGGCTCAGGTCAAAAGTAGTGCACTATATAGGGAATAGGGTGCCATTTGGGACTTAGCCCTTTGTCCTACTACTGAATAAGGTTACCAGTTAATATGGCAGTATGTACATGTGCAATGGTGGAGACGTCTGGCAGGTTTAATGGAGCCTAATGGGGAGCGTTGGATCTTGTCAGTTTATGACTCTTCTTGTTTTTATCACGCCATTCAGATTATCTAGATTAGACGCTCCAGATTGAAGAGGAGAAATAACAAGGTAGAATTAAATTATAAACTGCCAATTCTGCATAAAAATATACTGAACAAAACTATAAACGCAACATGCAACAATTTCAAAGATTTTACTGAGTTACAGTTCATATAAGGAAATCAGTCAATTGAAATACATTAATTGGGCCCTAATCTATGGATTTCACATGACTGGTAATACAGATATGCATCTGTTGGTCACAGGTACCTTTGCATAGAGTTGATCAGGCTGTTGACTGTGGCCTGTGGAATGTTGTCCCACTCTGGAACACGTTGATCCAGAGCATCCCAAACATGCTCAGTGGGTGACATGTCTGGTTAGTATGCAGACCATGGAAGAAATGTTCTGTTTCCAGGAATTGTGTACAGATCCTTGCGACATGGGGCCGTGCATTATCATTCTGAAACATGAGATGATGGTGGTGGATGAATGGCACGACAATGGGCCTCAGGATCTCGTCACGGTATCTCTGTTCATTCAAATTGCCATCGATAAAATGCAATTGTGTTCGTTGTCCGTAGCTTATGCCTGCCCATACCATAACCCCACCGCCACCATGGGGCACTCTGTTCACAAGGTTGACATCAGCAAACCACTCGCCCACACGACGACATACACATGGTCTGCGGTTGTGAGGCCGGTTGGACGTACTGCCACATTCTCTAAAATGACGTTGGAGGAGGCTTATGGTAGAGAAATGAACATTACATTCTCTGGCAACAGCTCTGGTGGACATTCCTGCAGTCAGCATGCCAATTGCACGCTCCCTCAAAACTTGAGACATCTGTGGCATTGTGTTTTGTGACAAAACTGCACATTTTAGAGTGGCCTTTTATTGTCCCCAGCACAAGGTGCTCCTGTGTAATTATCATGCTGTTTAATCACCTTGAAATGCCACACTTGTCAGGTGGATGGATTATCTTGGCAAAGGAGAAATGCTCACTAATGGATGTAAACACATTTGTACACAACATTTGAGAGAAATAAGCTTTTTGTGCATATGGAACATTTCTGGGATCTTTTATTTCAGCTCATGAAACACGGGACCAACACTTTACATGTTGCGTTTTATATTTTTGTTCAGTGTAATTCCCAAGTTTGTAATTGATTATCCCAAGATAAATATACTGAGACCTATAACCCCTCATCAGTCCTGTGTTCTCATCAAATCTCACCCTTACAGATTATAGGAGTCTATACAGATTCAGCATTCTAATCAAATCTCACCCCTACAGATTATAGGAGTCTATACAGATTCAGCATTCTAATCAAATCTCACCCCTACAGATTATAGGAGTCTAACGATTCAGCATTCTAATACAAATCTCACCCCTACAATTATAGGAGTCTATACAGATTCAGCCATTCTAATCAAATCCTCCTTAACAATCTACTAGCCACATATATCAGATTGTATGCATTCTTCAACCTTCACCCTACAGATAATATAGGAGTTAATACATTCAGCATCTAATCAAAAATATCTTCGATTCTATATGGAGCATTCAGAATCAATTTTGCTGTTAAACAACATTTAGAACCTATAAACAAATCGTTAGTTTTAATCATGTTTCCCCCGTTACTCTAAAAAAAACTATTGTTGTAATCACACACCTAACCCCGACCAGGCTAAATATCATTGTATGGTATGTCCATTTGCCTCACCAGTCACATAACATTGTTTTAATAGCATTCACCCTCCTCAACCCCTAATCCACCAACAAATAATGTTGTTTTAATCATATCTTCACCCCCTCACCCCTACCAAAAAATGTGGTTTTAATCAACTCTTCACCCCCTCCCCTACCAACAAATCATGTTGTTTTAATCAACTCTTCACCCCCCTCACCCCTACCACCAACAAATAATAATGTTGTTTTAATCAACTCTTCTCACCCCTACCACCAACAAATAATCATGTTGTTTTAATCAACTCTTCACCCCCCTCACCCCTACCACCAACAAATAATGTTGTTTTAATCAACTCTTCTCACCCCTACCACCAACAAATAATCATGTTGTTTTAATCAACTCTTCACCCCCCTCACCCCTACCACCAACAAATAATGTTGTTTTAATCAACTCTTCACCCCCTCACCCCTTCCACCAACAAATAATGTTATTTTAATCAACTCTTCACCCCCCCCCCCACCTCACCCCTTCCACCAACAAATAATCATGTTGTTTTAATCAACTCTTCACCCCCCTCACCCCTACCACCAACAAATAATCATGTTGTTTTAATCAACGCTTCCCCCCCCCCCCCCCCCCCCACCTCACCCCTACCAACAAATAATCATGTTGTTTTAATCAACTCTTCACCCCCCCCCCCCCACCTCACCCCTACCAACAAATAATCATGTTTTGGTTCTGTTCTCTATAATCTGACCAGGATCATGGTGGAAACAATATTGTAGACGTGCATTAATGACAAAATGAAGAGCCGTATGTGTATACAACCGTTATTTCAGACTCCAGTGTTTTTCCTCCCTTTGGTTGCATCTGGAGAAAAAAAAGCACCCTATTGCCTTGATAGTGCACAACAACCCAATGGGATTCCCCGTGGGCCCTGGTCTAAAGTAGTGCACTATATAGGGAATAGGGTGCCATTTGGGCCGCATTAGTTTGTATAGATCAAATCAAATTTTAGATGGGGTGGGGGGGGGGGCAGTGCAAATAGTCCGGGTATAGATCCCAACTGTATGATACCTGAAGCTATGTCTGTTGTTTGGCACTTGTATGTAATTGTATGCCTTTTGTTATACATTTTGTATATTGAGAAGAAGAGTGTTTTGAGTCAAGCTATTTAATAATCTTGCACTGTTCATAATGATAACATGTACTTTTCTGTACAGGCAGTTGGACTGTTTTTAACTCGTAGTTTCGTTAGTGTACATAGTTAGGAGGGTCAAAGCATGTATGTTGATTTTTTCCCCGTTCGTTTCTCATTCTGGCCCAAATGGAACCCTATGGGCTCTGGTCTAAAGTAGTGCACTATATAGGGAATAGGGTGCCATTTGGGATGCATACAAAGTTTATTTGGTTTCATTTGTTGTTTTGTTTACTTGTTGTTCTGAGGTTTTCAGATAGTTTTTTTTTTTTTTTCCTAGACTGGTTATTTGCTTTGTACTCTTGTCTTGGCTTGTTCATTTGTTTTTGTTTTCACGTTAGCTTGTGCTTGTATCAGAAGCATTCCCTATGAGCACAAGATGTTGAAAATACATATTTTTGGTTGATATCTTTTCAACCGATTTTGCTCATTGGGTTTAGTGGTTTTGAAAAGATGGCTATGGTATTTTCCGACCTGTACATGCCCTGTACAGTTTTATGGACCTCTATGGAAAGGTCTGGGACATAGAGAGTGTGATAAAGCTTATAAAAAGCTCTATAGTATTTATTAGGCCCATCAGAAAATGGGCATTCATTCATGTGTAATTTATTGTACAAATGTAAGCAAAAAAAAAGAAGCCTCTGTTTGAAATAAATGCCATAGTTTGAACTTCATTGTATTGTCTTTGGTCCGGTGGAAATGTCACATGCCATGATATCTGCTCAACACTCACACCTCTAGATGTACCTGTAAGGACTAATCTGTGGATAGCGTGGTTGCCTTACCTACCTTAGTTGAATGCACTGGCTCTGGAGAAGAGTGTCTATTAAAGCTAAATTACCAAAATGTATTCAAGTCCAGCTGGTCGACTCTTAACGTTGAGAAAGAATTATTTGATGACTGTACTTAGTAGTAGTGTACTTGTACTACAGTAATAACAAAATAAATAATTTCAGTAACTCAAAATAAATGGCAAATCCACTTGACTTCTGTAAAGTAAAACCCTTGGACTCTAGGGTGTAACAATTCCGTTGCAAAACGTTTCGTCTGTTTTGCAACAGAAACCATCAACGCTGAACAATGAAAACGTTTTGCAACGAAAACGAGAGTTTCTATTGGGACAAAAATGCAGTTTCGTTTTGCTTTCATGTGGTTCTTTAAACGGGTAAAGCCGTTTCCGTTGCAAGACGTAGTCACGGCCCTGCTCACTATTTCAACTATCAGCTGTATTGTCATTTGAAACGTTATATATATATATATATATCAGCAGTAGTCACTGCGCAGGTGTGAGTCGTATAATAGGATCCGTTCCCGGGAAGGCTCAGTAGCTAGCATGCCGGCTAGTTAGCGGTGCGTCTCTGCTGCTCGCCGGAGATGATGGGGGTTAAAGCCAGCACCAGCACCGTGGCCGCCGGGGTGGCCGGAGCCCTGTTCGTTGGATACTGCGTTTATTTCGACAGGAAACGACGGAGTGATCCCAACTTCAAGAAAAGGCTGCAAGAACGTAAGTCATGTTAGCAAACTGGCAAGTCACCGTGTTTTTTTGTACCTGCGACAAAACAGGCTAGCTTAGCTTACAAATGTTTGGCTAACTATCTAGCGTGATATAACTTCATTTTAAAAGCATACGCTGAGCAGTGTGTTTTGGTTTATAATAATATTGCTAACTAGTAGCCAATTTGATTAGCTTGTCAATAGTTAACTAGCGAAGTGCCACCATATCCGTTTAGCCATTTAGCTAGTTAGCGTTGGATAACATTGCTGATGAATCAATCGGGTCAATCCAATATTAAGGATGTTTTGTCAACAGTTAGTAAGCAAGTTTAGGGTGTTGTATAAATGTGTAGTTACTGTAGATAGTTAGCAAAGTTAACCACCTCTCCCCACATGGACTAGTAACGTTAGTGTTCAACAGAATTATGTTTATGGTTTAAACAATCAGACTCTAACCCCTTTCATATAACTGACATTTTGTCTGTTACAAGTCACCCTTTCTTTAGCGTACCAGTAATCAAATATGAAATTGTTTTCAACAGGCAGAAGAAAACAGAAGTCTTCCCAAGAGAAGACGGGACTAACAAGGGTAAGACACATTCCCAGCGGTGGACAGACCAGAGTCAGTCATGGGGGCTAATGATTGAAGATGATATGGAGGTAGTGCTTTTGGAAAGCTCTTTGTTTGATCTCCTCTGTACTGACTGTCTGCCATTTTAGCTGCCTGACCTGAAGGACTCGGAGGCTGTACAGAAGTTCTTCCTGGAGGAGATCCAACTGGGAGAGGAACTGCTAGCGCAAGGTGAACTGTCACCACCTGTCTCCATGGGGGCATCACCTGGTCTTTTATACACACCCAGTCCTAAAACACTACTAAGAGACTATAACTAAATATCTGGTCCTGAATAACAGGATGGTCACTTGAACTTAGTCAGACTGACTCCCTTCTGGAATAGCTGTGGCAATAGTGTCTGGTCCAATGTTAAACTGTGCATTCTCATAAACCTCCTGGTTGCTAATGTTAGCTTCTGAAACGAGGAAGGGTTCTAGATCAAACTGGAGATCCAAAGCCCAGGGACCCGTGCCAGGGGCTCTGGTTATTTCAGCTCTAGGACATCCATTACATAATCGTCTGGTTTTTTTTCTTGGAAGGATGAGAATGGATTAGACCACCTGATCTAACCATGTCTACCATCCCAACAGGAGACTGTGAGAAGGGAGTAGACCATCTAACCAATGCCATAGCAGTGTGTGGTCAACCCCAGCAGCTGTTGCAGGTGCTGCAGCAGACTCTGCCTCCTCCAGTGTTCCAGATTCTGCTCACCAAACTGCCCACCATCAGCCAGGTGAGTTAGGAGGCTCTCTGCCACGGAAGACGCAAAGTCTCTATTCCAACACTTAGAATGAAGCAATGTATTGGGCGTGCATTTTCAGTGATATGGAACTGTGGCCAAGTGGGGTTGGAGTGTCTCCAAAATGGCTGACTTTCCCCTCAGCCATGAGGATGAGACGAGGCATCTGGATTGTCAGCCATTTTTGAGGCGTCTCCAAAATGGCTGACGGATGACTCGTTCGTCCTTCATTTGCCCTTGACCGCCTTTGTTTCCAAATGCTAACGTTTTAGAATTTGTGACACAAATCCCATCAAAAGCATTTTTTGCTCATGATTTCCAAATCATCCAAAAGTATTTAAAATTGATCGTTTAGCTCAACATAGACCATTATACGTGACTTGAACGTGATTCGCAAAAAATGCTAATAATGGTACCATGTAGAAACAGTCCAATGTTTTGTTGTTGTTGAATGTTATTTTCAGAGGAACATTAGAACTGTGCATTCTCATAAACCCCCTAGTTGCTTCTGGAACAAGGAAGGATGCTAGATCGAACTAGAGATCCAACGCCCAGGGGCTCTTGGTTATTTCAGCTCTAGGACATTAATCTGGGGCGGCAGGTAGCTTAGTGGGTAAGAGCGTTGTGCCAGTAACCGAAAGGTCGCTGGTTCTAATCCCCGAGCCGACTAGGTGAAAAATCTGTCGATGTGCCCTTGAGCAAGGCACTTAACCCTAATTGCTTCTGTAAGTCGCTCTGGATAAGAGCGTCTGCTAAATGACTAAAATGTAAAATGTAATCTTGTCTGTTGTTTCTTTAAAGATGGGTTTTATTGTCATGTCACTTATTAGGCTGTCAGGATTCAGGCCTGACCATGGCTGGAGGAGTTCAGTGAAATTTCTCTCCCTGTTTTTCAGAGAATCGTGAGCGCTCAGAGTTTGGCAGAAGACGACATTGAGTGAATGAGTTGGTGAGGTGTGTGTGCAACTGCGTGTGTGTCTGTTTGTGTATGACTATTGACTGGCTGTGTCTGTTTTGGCCTAGTCAAGATGGCTGCCGTTGGATCTCTTTCTCACCAACCAGGACATCGGCTGACTGTACCCCCCCATGCCTCAGTGCTATATAAGAAGCCCTTTGCCGTCATTGTCCCCTCTGAAGTCTACTGTGTCAGGTTCCCTATGCAGTAGCCTTCTCATATCTCAGATTCTGTTCTAATATCTTGACAAACTAAATGAATGTGCCCTGCCCATATACCATTTAGCCTAAACAAAGTTATTATTTTCTAGTTCTACTCTAGATTATGTAGATTACGTGTAATTTTAAAAGATGTAACGCCGCTGGTGTGCATGAAACACACTAATATGGAAAGAGGTTGGCTCTGTCAGTTTGTCCCGGGTGTCGTGTATATACATTCACTGTGAGGTGGAGTGGACACTTTTTACTATGTGGATTGTTTTCTAAGGTGTCAGTGGAATGTGTTTTTTTTTTTTTGTATTTCAAACCTACATTTCTGAAATCATCCTGTTTCGTCTTAAGTCACGGAATAAAAATGTGAGAATGTGTATTTATTGTCTGTTTCTGTAGCCTGCATGGCCACTAGATGGCAGTAGCAATGCGTGAAGAAATGAGTGCCAGAGTGGTCAGGTTTAGTTGTGGTTTACAGATTGAATTGGGTAGGACGCCATCGGACCACTAATCAGTATTTCCCCACAACCACTGGAGCGAGGCAGCACTAACAGATTGGGGACAGAGCCACTGGAGCGAGGCAGCACTAACAGATCGGGGACAGAGCCACTGGAGCGAGGCAGCACTAACAGATCGGGGACAGAGCCACTGGAGCGAGGCAGCACTAACAGATCGGAGACAGAGCCACTGGAGCGAGGCAGCACTAACAGATCGGAGACAGAGCCACTGGAGCGAGGCAGCACTAACAGATCGGAGACAGAGCCACTGGAGCGAGGCAGCACTAACAGATCGGGGACAGAGCCACTGGAGCGAGGCAGCACTAACAGATCGGAGACAGAGCCACTGGAGCGAGGCAGCACTAACAGATCGGGGACAGAGCCACTGGAGCGAGGCAGCACTAACAGATCGGGGACAGAGCCATCTGGAGCGAGGCAGCACTAACAGATCGGGGACAGAGCCACTGGAGCGAGGCAGCACTAACAGATCGGGGACAGAGCCACTGGAGCGAGGCAGCACTAACAGATCGGGGACAGAGCCACTGGAGCGAGGCAGCACTAACAGATCGGGGACAGAGCCACTGGAGCGAGGCAGCACTAACAGATCGGGGACAGAGCCTCTGGAGCGAGGCAGCACTAACAGATCGGGGACAGAGCCTCTGGAGCGAGGCAGCACTAACAGATCGGGGACAGAGCCACTGGAGCGAGGCAGCACTAACAGATCGGGGACAGAGCCACTGGAGCGAGGCAGCACTAACAGATCGGGGACAGAGCCACTGGGGCAAGGCAGCACTAACAGATCGGGGACAGAGCCTCTGGAGCGAGGCAGCACTAACAGATCGGGGACAGAGCCTCTGGAGCGAGGCAGCACTAACAGATCGGGGACAGAGCCTCTGGAGCGAGGCAGCACTAACAGATCGGGGACAGAGCCACTGGAGCGAGGCAGCACTAACAGGTCGGGGACAGAGCCTCTGCCTGCACAGCGGGTAGTAGACTGACAGCCAGGGAGTCTCAGAAGGCTTGTTAGAGAAATATTTTTCACCTGTAAGTTGAGGCTGCACACAGGCAATCTCATGTTCATACTAGTGAACAGAACAGAAGGGCTTTCTTAAATGGGATGGAGTAGAGGAGTAATGTAGGAGGGAGTTGCTCTGCTCTCTCTCTGGTTATACATGTTGGAAGACTAAGGTTACATTCCAAATGGCACCCTATTCCCTATATAGTGCGCTACTTTAGACCAGAATGGCACCCTATTCCCTATATAGTGCACTACTTTAGACCAGAGAATGGCACCCTATTCCCTATATAGTGCGCTACTTTAGACCAGAGAATGGCACCCTATTCCCTATATAGTGCACTACTTTAGACCAGAGAATGGCACCCTATTCCCTATGTAGTGCACTACTTTAGACCAGAGAATGGCACCCTATTCCCTATATAGTGCACTACTTTAGACCAGAGAATGGCACCCTATTCCCTATATAGTGCACTACTTTAGACCAGAGAATGGCACCCTATTCCCTATATAGTGCACTACTGTTGACCAGGCTCTGGTCTAAAGTCAAATAATTTTAATCGCAGTCAGTTAGTTTCTTTATTACACAGAAGGTCTCTGGGTCTGCCAGGAGACTAGAACTGGGAAATAGTTCTTATACGGTAGGATGGTTGGAGGAATGAAATTTAAACGCTGGCCCAGAAATGTCCTATGAAAGGTACAGTGCATTCAGAAAGTATTCACACCCCTTTTTCCAACATTTTGTGTTGGAGCCTGAATTCAAAATGTAATAAATTGATTTGATTTTGTGTCACTGGCCTACACGCAATACCCCATCATGTCAAACTGGAATTATGTTTTTAGAAATGTACAAATTAATTAAAAATGAAAAGCTGAAATGTCTAGAGTCAATAAGTATTCAACCTCTTTGTTATGGCAAGCCTAAATACGTTCAGGAGTGAAAATGTGCTTAACAAGTCACATAAGTTTCATGGACTCTGTGTGCAATAATCGTGTTTAACATACAATTATCTGTAAGGTTTCTCAGTCAAGCGATGAATTTCAAGCCACAAATACCAGGGAGGTTTTTCAATGCCTCGCAAAGAAAGACACCTATTGGTTGATGGGTAAAATAAAATACATTGATGATCCCTTTGATCATGTTGAAGTTATTAATTACACTTTGGATGGTGTATCAATACACCCAGTCACTAAAGATACAGGCGTTCTTCCTAACTCAGTTGCCGTAGAGAAAGGAAACCGCTCTGGGATTTCACCATGAGGACAATGTGACTTTAAAACAGAGTTTAATGGCTGTGGTAAGAGAAATGATGATTGATCAACAACATTGTAGTTACTCCACAATACTAACCCTGACAAAGTGAAAAGAAGGAAGCCTGTACAGAATACAAATATTCCAAAACATGCATCCTGTTTGCAATAAGGCACTAAAGTAAAACTGCAGAAAATGTGGCAAAGAAATCAACTTTGTCCTGAATACAAAGTGTTATGTTTGGGGGAAATCCAACACATCACTGAGTACCACTTCATATCTTCTGCATCATGTTATGGGTATGCTTGTCATCGGCAAGGACTAGGGAGTTTTATAGGATGAAAAAACTGAATAGAGCAAAATCCTAGAGGAAAACCTGGTTGTCTGCTTTCCAGGAGACACTGGGAGACCAATTTGCTGCTATAACAGCCTCAACTCAACTGAGAAGGCTTTCCACTAGATCAGGGTTCTTCAATTCCGGTCCTGGAGGGCCGAAACACCTCTGTTTTTCATCCTCTCCTCCTAAGCAGGGGCTAATTCAGACCCGGGACACCAGGTGAGTGCAATTAACTACCAGGTAGAAATAAAAAACAGAAGTGTTTCGGCCCTCCAGGACCGGAATTGAAGAACCCTGCACTAGATGTTGGAAAATTGCTGAGGGGATTTGCTTCCATTCAGCCACGAGCATTAGTGAGGTCGGGCACTGATGTTGGACGATTAAGCCTGGCTCGCAGTCTGCGTTCCAATTCACTCCCAAAGGTGTTCAATGGGGTTGAGGTCAGGGCTCTGTGCAGGTCAGTCAAGTTCTTCCACACCGATCTCGACAAACCATTTCTGTGTGGACCTCTGTGCACAGGGGCATTGTCATGCTGAAACAGGAAGGGCCTTCCCCAAACTGTTGCCACAAAGTTGGAAGCACATAATTGTCTAGAATGTCCTTGTATGCTGTAGCGTTAAGATTTCCCTTCACTGGAACTAAGGGGCCTAGCCTGAACCATGAAAAACAGCCCCAGACCATTATTCCTCCTCCACCAAACTTTACAGTTGGCACTATGCATTCGGGGATGTAGCGTTCACCTGGCATCTGCCAAACTCAGATTCGTCCGTCGGACTGCCAGATGGTGAAACGTGATTCATCACTCCAGAGAACGCATTTCCACTGCTCCAGAGTCCAATGGCGGCGAGCTTTACACCACTACCAGCCAACGCTTGGCATTGCTCATGGTGA